CCCCTACCCTCTCGCTCCTTGGCTCCGCGGCCACCTTCGTGTCTCACCCTCTCACTTCATGGCTCCGCGGCCACCTCCGTGCCTCACCCTCTCACTCAATGGCTCCGCGGCCACCTCCGTGCCTCAACCTCTCACTTCATGGCTCCGCGGCCGCCTCCGTACCTCACCCTCTCACTCCATGGCTACGCGGCCGCCTCCATGCCTCACCCTCTCATCCCATAGTTCCGCGGCCGCCTCCGTCGCTCCACCCGGGCGGCCGACGCCGGCGTCTCTCTCCGCCATTTGCGCGACACAATCAGCTCGCGCCAGCCTCGCTCTGACTCCGCCGACGCCGTCCAGCCATTGTTTTCTATTTTGCCACTTGCGTCGGCCGGCCAGGCTCCAGTGAGTGATGAAAGAAGGCCGCCTTATCAGGCCTTCCGTCGCGCCAGGCCCCCCGGCCGGCGCGGCGCTGGCGCTGGCTCGAGCGCGGCACGTGACCCAGCCGGAGCAGCGCCGCCCCGGGGGTGGTCCGCAGCACTCAGCAACGCTGGCGCGGTCCGCGTGGCGCGCTGACAGGCCCGACAGCCGCGGGAAGGGGCTGAGGAGAGCCATGGATAGTCCGGGCGCTCGGACCACGGCTGCATTGACACTCGCCCGGCTGGCCGGCTAGATCCCCTCGCTCGGGTGGGGGGGGAGGGGGGTCAATTTCACCCCCTAAGGTCTCAAGAACTAAGAAAGCTAGAGACACCAAATTTACAGGGTGTGTTGACCTCTACGTGAACTCACATAGGTCAAAGTTGCAGGTTTCTAGGTTATGCTTTTGGGTAAAAAAGGTCAAACAAGGTTAAGTTCCAGGCTGGTCTCCAAAGTGCCCCTAGAACCCAGATAACCGTTTCTAAGCAAAGGGTGACATGCTCATTTAAGGTCAGTGACAGGCAGCTATTTTTCGCGATCATGTCATGAAAATATGAAGTCACTCGTCGTGTAAATGCATCCTGCACGGTACTGCAAGTTCATCTCTTATTTTTGCACTACACCTCACCAGCAGCACACCACAGTGTGCTGCCAAACAAAAAATGATCATGAACCGATCATATTTCTATTTTACAGCAAGAGCATCAGGGACAAAAAAAACCACGGCAGACATGAAACACCAGTAAACCAGGCTGCACAGATTTAACAGATTTAAACAAATATCTCACGAAATAATTTAAGAATAATGACACAAGTCTTCAAAGCCATGATCGGGTTTGATTGAACAGCAGTTAGGTGACCTCTTAATATTAATATAGCTACACAATGCACTTGGCTGTTATTGTAAGGGTGTGGTGCACTCAACCTTTCTTGATTCACACACAAATCGTACCTTTAAAATAACGACCAATATCTGTGATCAGTGAAATGCATGGGTAGCTGTGAAACTTTCCTTGCCCTAGCTTTACTTACTTGTCAATAGATCCCGCAATTATTTGTGTTTCAAATGCGCAACAGTTGTCGAAACTGAAAAAGTGGTGGTATGGAATTTATCGACCCATGTCTAAAGAAGATGCTATTGACGATCACGGCCACAGGGCAGTGACATCTTATACGGTCCTCCCTAGCTGCAACTGTTAAAGTTTTTAATATATTTTTTGGCTAACGCTTTTGTTCGGTCTGATTTGCACATTGCTTCTAACTTAACATTTGGATCTATAAGCATACTGTGTGAAAAATTCATGTCAACGTATTATGCCAATAAAGCATTCCATAGCAACCAAAATTTGCAGTCGGCAGGTTAGTTAAAAGGAAAACAATTATTGAACATCATTTTCTAACGTTTTTATTTGTCTAACATTTTTGGAGGTTTTTCAGCAGCATGCAGCGTTGTCATTTTTTGCGACATGGATAAATGCCTCGGTGATGACTCTGAAAGGGGCAAATATTGTGGAATATTGTTTTTATCCTGGCCTTCACACAGTAATACACAAACAGCGCGGAAATGGTCGTGAGGTCGGACATGAGTGGTGTTAAAAGAGAAATCTGGACGATTTCAGAGACCTCCTGCGCTTTCATTCGGTGTTGTTGCCTGCTGTATCCACTTAAGGACAGAAAACACCACAGACGAGACTGGCTCTGGTTCTCCTTCGCAAGTTATGACATTGTTGCGATTGCAGCGCAAATGAGTCACGTTTGCTTATGCACATTGTAACGAACTGTGAAGACTTGCGATGACATGAAACATCCAGACTGCTTTACTCTGTCAGCGCAAAGCCACAAGTTGATGCATGCAATTTTAGAATAAATGGTCTGTAATCTCATGAAAAAAGATGGAAGGCTGAAATCATGGTTTACATTTTGGTAAAATGCAAATTTAATTTACACCCCTTTCCTTCTCATGTGTAGTTAATAGCTGTCATCACAGCGTTAAAGAACTGCTTGATGCATTAGCGCGAAGCTACAAGTTTATGCGTGCAATTTTAAAATAAATGGCCTGCAGTCTATTGAGATCAGATGGAAGGATGAAATCATTTTTTACATTTTGGCAATAGACAAATCTATTTTCCACCCCCTTCCTTCTCATGTGTAGTTAGAAGCTGTCATCACAGTGTTAAAGCACCAATTTGATGCATTATAAGTTCCATTGTACAGGAATTTTGAAAGCTGCTTTCTACGCAGCATCACTGGTGTTACCCAAAGAATATATGTATGATTATGTATGCATGAAATCACTTATGTTACCCAAAGAATGTGTGTACATAAATGTACGTATTAGACGATACTTACCTACCACTTTAGGCACACTTTATGGTGTTGGGCTAAAATTAAAGTGAAAGGATAAAATGCACATCGTAATAACTTAGTTCTCTCTCGCGAGCCAATCTCGGATCAGCATTGTAGCAGAGCGAGCTTTTGCAAGCTGCATTACTAGCTGGGTAGGGCGGGCTGGGCTGCGGGCTCATACTTTAGCGAACTTGCATCTCGACCATTCATCCTCATTTGTACTGTTCCTGTCATTACTGTGATTTGCGCAGTTGTCCTACTATCCAACGTGAAAACAGATGCTTAGAGATACGTTGCATAAAGTTTTCATTTTTATACGTCAGTCCATAGGCTGACAGCCGAAAGATGGACGTTTAGGCGTGAAGCGTCAGAATCGGGTATATCTTTCATAACACTCAGAATTTCAGTTTTATTGAAGGATAAAGCCCAGGCGGCGCCACCATTCATGGTGCATTCACAGTGGCAGAACTTTAGACAGGGAGGCCCAATGGCGTTTTGTCACCAGAACCATACAGCAGCATATTGTTAATGGATTGACAATGTAATACTTATTGGTTGATTCGCGCAAAAATATGAAATTGGCATCATTTGTATCATGTTACTGAGCTACCAAAATCGAGAGTGTAATCAGTGCAAGATATGTCACGACCATGACTGTTTCTGATAGCAGTATAACAAGAACTTTAAAAAGTATAACACGATGCGCCTTTGAGGCGAAGGACAAGCAGTTTTACCAAAGAGCGTCGGCGTGGGTAGTTTGAGTGATGTTTCCTGATCTCATTCAAATGCCGTCAGAGTCTAAGACAAGGTCTTCCTAAGCTTTAAATAAGTGTTGTCTGGGCCAACTTCAGACACGGACAATCCACCTAACACATGCGTCTCCAACCGGTGTACTTATAGTACTTTAGTTTTGGGGGCGCGTCGACTTCAACAGTATTTTGTGAAGGTGAAGCGAGTGCCTCAGGGAGGGTATTGCAGGGAAGCCAAATCATGTCGAAAAAAGAGAAGATAGCTGTTCAAGCAGAGCCAACAGATAGGTGCTGGCTGGAAGGTGATGGTGCCACATACAATGCACCGCGTGCGCCACGCCGAAAAAAAATACTTAAGTAACCAAGAACAGGGGCAGTGTATCAAACGACATGGGGAGTCCGAACACTAGGGAAATGGCGAGAGCTCACTTTGTGATTTTATTTTTGTGCCCGAATGTCATCCCCGTGTTATCATTAGGACTACTCCGGACCCGTCGGCTCTCTTCTCAACAGGTGGTACAAATGCGCGTGGCTTATGTCGATTGGATGGCTGTTTGGCTCAAAGGAAATCATAATTTGATCCATACTCAGGGGAAACGAACACAAAAAGGTTGGCAAACACTGATTTGACAAGGTTTCGTATAGCGTCACGCTGTCTGTGCTACTAGGCTACGGATGCCTAAGGGTATGACGAATACTAATGATAAATATAATACCATCGAAACTTTCCACTGAAGAACACTAACGCAATGTAGACTAAGAGCTTGCACACAGGTACAATTAACGGAATCTGTGAACTCAATCCATTTTTCGCATTCCATATTGCTTATAACATTAAGCAAGTTGTTGAGAGGTTTCACGAGGAACATTTTGCACATAGATAAGACATTACTAATAGCCTTATTCCTCGTAGTATAACCAGGGAAATGGGAGATAGATGCATTGATATTTCTGCTACGTGCCTTTATCGAAACGACTATCAGTAGGTGTATTCCTGGTTATTCTACAAGGAATAAGGTTGCTAGCCCTCTTCTCTATTTCACATTAACAGGTAAAAGTGCGCCACTGGTGAGTCATCGACCCAGCTTAACCTAAAAAAACGGTATAGAAATGCCGAACAAGATGCGCGTGCTTCATGCAAAAACCCTTCCCCTCTCCCTAATTCGATCTAGATGCACCACATGATCAAGGATACGAACACCGACATAACAATATAAACATAACTAATATCACGCGGCGGAGTGCACACTTCCAGACTTCCGAAGTAAACACCAGGCAGGGGGTGGATGCAGCCGGGCCATTAAGAAGTAGGAGGTGTATTTACTCACATGACAGCTAATCCATCTGAGGTATATTGCAATGAAAGGGCCTGGCTTTTATCGCTGGGAAGATCCCGTCTCGTCGGACATTACGTGTGACGAGCGTATCTCCCGGAGTACGATATGGGGCAGTGTTCAGTATTTTTCAGTATCTACAATTGCACTGGGTTGTAGAAGTGGCCAGTCTTACCTTCTTATAAATGCAGACGTCGGTGCTCATGCTTTCTGGAAAAGGAGAAAATAACGTTACGTATTTGTTTTATTCACTTGCATTTGCGTACACAAGCCGGCGAAAAGGACAGTCAATGCCTCGCAAGGCCATTCTAGTTGTCATCGAATACCTGAATCAGTAGTATGCCGAGTGAGGGGTAATTCCCGCCAGTTTTGTGTTTCCGCGCGAATGTGTCCTCTGGCCTGGCAACCGGTGCAGTGGTCCGGAAGCGGTGATCCTCTTCGATTATTCGACCCAATCGGAAATGTTGAGGTTGAGGTGCCCAAACACACCTGGGATGCTATTTTTGCCGGCCGCTTGTCCTATAGTAAGTCACATGCGGCCAAAACAAAGTTCCGAATGGCCAAAACAAGATGCGGCAGACCACATGAGAATTATGAGTGTAAAGATGAAATGATCAATGAAATGAATAGGGTTATCAGCAAAAATAGCCAGAGCGTACTCACATGGAAGGCAACAAACAATTGATTAGAGCGAGTATTTTTTACAACTTACAAACATTCTGAGAGATGATGGACTTATCAAACCATGCGGTCATGTTCTTGTAGTAAAGCGAGTCATTTTGAAGCGCACTGATCATCTTTTTACTGATAATGGCGCAAAATTGCTCAACCTGGTATTACCCTGAGCATGTCGCGTAAAGACTGAGTGGCAAAGGCTCATAATGGGTGCCAGAAGTATCGTGATGTATTGCAACGATTTTACTGGTAAGGACTCAAATGAAATATCGTGGCCATAAATTAGCTTTAAACCCGGACCACAAATTTGCAAGCGTCTGCGGTACACTCAGGAGAACAACAATTAAGGCAATGCAAACTTTTGAAATAGCCTTAATATGACATTTCCAACCACAACATTACGCTTCTGCAACTATGGTAGACCCAATGGACGTACGCGACCTATTGTTTAAATAGGTGCGGAATTTTAAGGATGGAGAAGAATCAAAACGTTACATACCGACATTCAGAGGAATGTGCTTGCATTAGATCCTACCTTGCATTTGACGAGCTGCATTTCAGCCCGCTGCCGTAGTCTTCTGTCACTGATTAACAACGTGATTGAAATAGAGCATACATGAAAGCAGAGCGCTGATGACAAACACAAAAGTCTGAGTCATCGCCAGCCAAAGAAGCTCTCCTGAATACGTCTCTGTCGCCTCTTTTCTTCGATTGTACAATGTTGTACATTTCACATCGCTTACTGCCAGGCAATAGGCAAATAGCTGTCATATCATAGCAAATATGCCTTGATTTCAGCACCGTAGCCACTGTCTGTTTATAGCGGCATTATCTAGTTTGCAATTCCTCTAGGCACCAGCCTTTGGCAGTCGGAAAATATAAATATGCAGGGTAGGTGGAGGGCTATTTATGACACACTTGGGGAGCCTAAGTTCACCCAAAGGGTAAGCTTGGCTCAACTTGATCACTGACAGGAAGTAACCGGCCAATCATCGGTCGGAAAAGGATCGTGATTTGTTCTGACGTTCCTCTCACAAACTGGGCTTCTAGTCGCTCTTGGACAATACGTGGCGCCAATATTGGATTAGGAGAAAACATCAAGCAAGCTCATGTTGCTCGCTTTGCCGCACCAACGTTTCTTAGAAAGCTTCACCCATGGGGAATGGGAGTTCGTCACTGAGCCTGTGTACGCAGAAGGCACCAAACTAAATTAGTTTGTAAAATGGGTCTGTCGAGCCTCCACACATTCACAACGCTACATCTCTCCTCGCCACCAGCCCCCACCACCGGCCTCGTCATCTCTATGGAGATCAAGTTACTGTCCAGGCCACGTGCGCACATGCGTTTCTTCAGTGAGACTGACCACTGCGCACGGCACCGAGCGGGCCGGATTTGCCGGCTGCCGGCCGCCCCGCGGTCAGCCCGAGAAGTCCCTGCGATCGCCGAGTCCTGAACGCCAGCCGGCCCGCATCCGGCGTCGCCCCGTCCGGCGTCAATGAAACATAATACCGCATGTGTTTATTCGCCAAATGGGAGGACCCGCCCAATCAATACCGGGGCAGAGGGGCCGGGTGGCGGCCCTCCGGCCCTCTGCTCGGCGCGGCCACATAGCGGTGCCGTATTTGGGCTGTCGGCGCTGACGCCGGAACTGGGCCAGGCGGCGCGCGCTGTCGACGCAGGCGATATGAGCGTCGTGAGCGACGATTCCCCGGGGGAGAGGGAGGGGCAGCGCGCGCCGCCCGGAGATGACTCGAGGTCAGATAAGATTAATGGAGTGCCAGCCGAGGTGGCTGTTCTTGCCATGATTCGCCGAAGAGATGCCATCGGTTCGCGGGCTTCTCCGATTGGTTCGTCGTAAGATAACGGCCGAGCTAATCGGATGCAAATGGAGCTGCTGGAGGGTAGACTGTACCGGTATACAGGAGAGTACTGCGGCACAGCCTGCATAACATCCACCAGACTTGAACTTTGAAGCAGAGAGCGTTAAAAAACTCGAGCATACGCAAAATTGTAGTCAAAACTATCCACGTCATTTAAATCAGACAACTTAACAGTGCCGCCTCTTGTACTAATAATGTAATAGTAACACCGATGTCTTGACAATAGCTTGATAACACAAGTACAGTACCAATAAGGCGTCCCCACCACGGCGAAGTTTTAGGACATCAATATGGCCCGTGAGGTAGTCTGTCACGAATCAACATTTATAAATGGAATTATTCAGCTTACGGAGAACGATAGCCGACTCAAGAAATCGCCATGTCGTTTGACGCTTTGGGCGAACAAACAAAGCCTAAAACAAAACTGAAAAATCCGCGGTGAATGGCTGCTCACCGGAAAATGTATTTTATCTCTCCTCTCCCTCCCTCTCTTCTCCTCTTTCCATCCATTCCCTCCAACCCTTCGTTCTCCATACCTTGCTCTCCGTGCTGTCTCCCTCCCTCATCATCCATCTCACTCTCCTCTCTCTCTCTCTCTCTCTCTCTCTCTCTCTCTCTCTCTCTCTCTCTCTCTCTCTCTCTCTCTCTTCTCTCTCTCTCTCTCTCTCCTCTCTCTCTCTCTCTCTCTCTCTCTCTCTCTCTCTCTCTCTCTCTCTCTCTCTCTCTCTCTCTCTCTCTCCCTCATTCTTGCCCCTCCCATCGTCTTCCCAGCGACCACAGACGTGCGTCCACACCCTCCCCCCCCCCCCCCCGCTGCTCTTTGTGTCAGCGCCGTCGCGTGCGCGCTCTCAGTCGCGCCGGTCTGTCGGCGTCAGTAGCGCTAGCCGTCCGGCGGCAGCGCTCGTCACCGCCGATTGGGGGGCGCGCTCACCGGCCGTCGGCGCCGTCCAAATAAACAGAGCACCGCCTGTGTACGCGGCGGGGCGAGGTCGGCCCGGGTGCTCACCGGCGGGGGCGTCCGGCCGCCGCCGCGGCCTACGCCGCTGCGCTCTGACCCCTGCTCTCTCCGGGAGCCCGCCCCCGCCGCTCTGTGCTATCGATTGCACCCACGTGCCTGCGATCACTTGCTCACTTGGTCGGCGGGCTTCAGCAGCGTCTGTGAAGCGTTTACTGCGACGGTTCGGTGCACGGCTGATGGGATCCTGTCAACTTGATTGGATCCTTCTGCCGCCAGACTACGCGTCGAGATGCGGTGAATGTACGCATTGCAGCTGGGTTGAGATGAGGCAAGAAGGTCGGAACCATAGACTCCTTACCTACGCATGGAGAGGCCTATGCCGAAACGCTTACGAGTTGCAGTGGATTGGCGTTGATCGTTTGGTGTTTGGCTTTTGGTCATTTGAGGCCGTTGGAAATGGCAGGGATCTTACAAATATCGTCATGACAAATCCCTTCTCCGATGAACAATGTTATTACCACCGGAGGGTTCTACTCAGA